TATGTGCCTGACACCAGGGGTGTCCCAAGGCTGGGTGACACCGGGAGCGGTGTGCGAGTGTCACCCCGCCGAGACGTGACCGCGCATGACCTCACCACGCATGTGTGCGATGACATCATCGCGCACGCGTGGCAGTATTCTGATACCTGCCGGCGGCCATCTTGGTTGTGGACGCCGGCAGATAGAGGAGGAGACAGCCACCCGGCGGGATAAGGTATGCCGCCGGGTCCCCTCCTCTCTCCGGATACTGTCGGGCGTTCGGTCCATGACCGATCGCCCGACTTTTCAGAGGGGGGTGACACCAAAATCACTAAGTAATTTTGGTGTCACCCCTCCAATGGTGTCACCTGGGTGCGGGCCGCACCCCCCTTGTGACGCCACTGCCTGACACTCATCTGCACTAAGACTCGTTCCTGGATGAGAGGTGATGTCACAGAACAAGCCAAGCTGATTGGTTGTTCCTAGCTCCTCGTGCCTATATCAGCGCTAGGCAACCCCGGCAATCCAGCAATTGTGGAACTACAAGTCTCATGAGCCACTGCAAGGGCATGCTGGGATTTGTAATCTCACCACAGCTGGATCGCTGAGGTTGCCTACCCCTCAATGGAGCTGCGGGGCATGTATGTGCCGCTGGGGAAGAGGGGGGGGGGATTAAGATTTGGCACCATTTGCATTCATGGCTGCACCCAGCGCGGTACAAAGCGCGTTCGCTTGGCTGTTTGCGGGATTTCAAAGCGGAGGTAATTGCCGGCCGGGCTTTAGAAAACGCTCTTCAGCTCACGAGGGCCGTTGATTAATGAGTAAATAATTATCTCCCTGCCGGTCTCGTTTCCAAGAAAAGGGGGGGAAAAAAAAGGCCTAATTAAGAAGGTTCCCAGCGGTCCGTCACCTTCATCTCTCCCCGATACCGAGATCATTTAACTGGCAGCGCCGCCCGGCTCATTAGCGCTACTCGGCGCTCCAAATTAGCCGGCAAAGGTCAGGTTTCCATGGGCGGGAAGATGAAAATCCTTCCAGGCAGATAATTGCTTTGAGGACTGAGCAGATCTAAATATGGAGATGAGACGCGATAGGCGGAGGAGGCCGAGAGGCGCCGGCAAATTGACTTGCCAGCGGCGTGCCGCGCGTACGGCACTCGCTCCCTCGCACACTAGAATTGGCTTTGAAGCCTCGTGAGCCAACCGGCGCCTTTTATCACCGACGGTCCCTCGGCAGCTGGAAAAAAAAATAATTGCCGCAGTAAAAAAAATATGGAGGCGTCAGTCGCAATCCGGCGCCCGATCGCGGCATTTCATTGTGTTCCTGTAACTCTCGGCACCCCTGTGACATCATAAAGCTGAACCCCGGGCAGATATAATTGACCCAAATTATTGAGCTCTGTATTCATTAATAGCGATGCACCGATAACGTTTTTTCGGTATCAAGTACGAGTACCGATATTTTTTTCCGGTACTCGCCGATATCGAATGCCGCAAGTCCCATTCAGGAAGCCAGACGCTGTGTGATGACTCGCCACCCGGCTTCCCGATTAGCAGGGAAGCCGTCCCCATGCTTCCTCATCACTAGGTGACGAGGAAGCATGGAGCCGGCTTTCTGGCCAATCAGAGAGCCGGGCGCCGTGCCATTACCCGACGCCTGGCTTCTCGACCAATCAGGAAGCCTGATTGGTCGAGAAGCTTGTAATGACTCGCTGCCCGGCAAGACGGCTCCATGCTCCCTTGTCACGAGTGACGAGGGAGCACGGAGCCGGCCAATCAGGAAGCGTGTAATGACTCACTGCCCGGCTTCCTGATACCAGAAGTATCGGGCTAGGCATCGGAGCATTTGGGCGAGTACGAGTGCTCGCCCCAATACTCCGTCTCGGCACCGATAACGATACTGGTATCGGTGCATCCCTATTCATTAAAACATCATTACACATATTTTTTAAAAGCAAGCGCTGTAAGCGTCTGAATCTGACCCGGTATCGGCCTCTTGCAGTCCCCGTACGGCAGAGCTCAGACTGGTAGAGGGAGAAACAGCACAAGGAGGCAGACAGTTGTTCTGTGGTACTTATGTGCTAACTAGAAGCATGCTGACAGCAGGAGAGTGCACAGTGACATTGAGATGAGCTCATTAGTCTGCAACTTCTTCTTTCACTGTCCAGTCACAGGCTGGGGGGAGGGACAGGGCCTGTAAGTGTTATTAAACTGCAGCAGAAAAAAAAATCAGATCTCCTGCAATACGCTGCGTGGCAGAGCTGTGTAAGTCTCAGCACTGGATGGACAGAAATAAATATATTGGGGGGGGGGGGGGGGATTGATTTC